ATTTGAACTGTTTTAAATTATTTAACCCCACTGTTTTAGTTAAAAATAACTATTTATTAAGTAGGAGCAGTGGCGACTTAATTAAGGTTAAATTTGACACTAGATTTAACAGTGTATATATATATGTGAGTGTGTGTATATATATATGTATGTGTGTTCTAGTCGGGCGCCAAATATATTGACATATTGACGCACTAATTGCGTAAAACATCACCACAAACAATATGAAAATATTGTGTAAATAAAATATTAAATATCTTTATAACAAATATTACCTGACAGACTTTGCTGACAATAAATTCCCCACACCTTAATATAGTTATCGGACATTAAGTTCATCGAGAAGTATCTATTTTTTGACTTCTTCATAATAGTCAACAGAATAGAAGTGACTATTATTATCATTACTAATGCTATCCAAATATCAAAGCTGAATGCCTGTAAGATTTATGGGTGGTCAATAAATAATTTACTAGACTTTATTTACTAGACTTTGTTATCGCAAATCTTTATCAATATAAATTATTTTAGTACTATTTTTCTTTTTATGAGAAAGATAGAACATAAATAAACTTAAATAATTTAGTTTTTAATTTTTTTGAAATTAAAGATTTTGTTATAGATAAGATATAATATTTATTTTCTTAACAGAAAATAAATATAAAAACTTTGCTTTGTAAATCTTTCGTCGTTTTATAATTGTAAATATAATTAATATGAGTAACTAATATATAGGAAAATAATAAAATGGGTAACTAATATATATAAGAAAAGATCACCGATACTGTCATACTTTTGTTTTCAAATTATATTTTTTAAAGAAAAGTTAAAAATAAAACTTTGATAAATATAAACTAGATAGTTTTCTATCAGATAATGTGCCAGCTTTTTATAATATTTTTTGGAATTTTACAATATTTAACATTTTTGTAAGATAAACAAAAATGAGCATCTGACAAAATGAGTCCAAAGTCTGCAAAAATAAGAAAGAGAAATATAAATAAAATAGTTTTAAAAAAATAAAGATATGTTGAAAAATCTAATATTAACAATAAAGTATCTATAATAATATATAAACGAAACAATTTGCAAAAACAAATTGTAAGAGCGTTATTTTCACATTTGTAGAATTTTTGTTTTCACCTAATTTTATATAAAAACAAGTCACACAAACTATGAATTATTTTTATCTCTTTAATTGTCTAAACTGATCATGTCTTTATCAGTATTAATAAAATGCATTAATTTCTGAGAAATAAATGGATACCTCTTTAGATTTTAGTATCGGCAATTTTTTTCTATTAATTAACAATAATATACATTATTAACATAACATATGTAAACATAATATATTACCTGTAAATATAAGTTCCATTGCACAGTGGCCTGTTCAGGTTCTTTAAAATAGAGGCGGTATCGTGAGCGTACCAGTGGCATTGTAAAGTCGATGACGTTCCGTCTGCGAGTCGTCATCGTGAATGCGGAAACGCCGATGTCGGCTTTATTGATCACCAACTGGCCGATCGCACCTGTCCATATCTTCTGCTGATGGCTCCAGCCACCGAATCCCTCCACTGGATCCAGAATCTCCACCGAGAAGTTCATAGCTTTAGTGAGCTCTGTCAGCACCAGACCCAAAAACCCGCCGAGCGTACCGTTCTCCAGCGACACTAGAGGCGAGTTCTGCGATGTATCAACAGAATTATCAAGTCACTCTAATCTACAAGACCATCATTAAATTCTAATATCGATTCCATGGCAAATTCTAATATCAATTTCGATTTTCTTTCAAGGTGACTACTTTCTACGAGAAAGGGTCGTCGCTCACGACATCACTAATCGCAACCGTTAGTGCGGCGCACGACAAAGTTCGCGAAAAATGAAAACTTACTTCCACTAACACCACACGTACAACTTCGCCAAACATGTCGCTCCTCCTGGCGTAGAGGTTCTTTTGTGTCTTCAAGATCAGACCATTATCGGGTGACCACGTGGCCAGATCGAACGTTCTGGTGCGATTATCGCGTATGGCGTACCACTCGACCAGGGTCGGACGATCATAGCACAGGACCAGCATCTCGGTGCGGACGTCCACATTAAATATGTTATCGGTAGGATACCAACAGTGCTCCTCAAGAGAATTCCCAGGACGTTGAAGGAACACGACGAACCAGATAGGGAAGGAAATGGGCTTTATGGCCCTCGTGGTTTTGGCGAACTCGTCCATAGTCTCCCTGGTGTCAAAGAGAACGACGAACAAGGGTCGTGTGACATTTTCCTGGTACTCATTGTAGTTGCTCGTCAGATCCGAGAAAGTTGTCGTCATGGTCATGACTTGCTGTCGTGAAAATTCGCGGGACCACATGTGCACCAACGTCGTCGTATGCAAATCTGTGATATTCGCATTTAACGATGATATTACATGTCATTTAATGTCAGCATCAGATATATTCTCTAGATCGTGAAATGAAGATATTTAATTTTTCTATAATTATATATTAATATAATTAGTTATATATTTTTCCCAGGATAGAGTCTAATTATAAAGTTCTAAGTTACGACTAAAAAGAAATAATATATTTATACAGATGAATCTTTTTACAGGGAAAAAATCCCGTGGAACATATTTTTGCTGTTTCTGTAAAGAGCAAGGAACCTCTTTTAAGGGATTACTTGTGTGAATATATGATAAATGTTGACGGATTCAAAAGTGAACATGTCGCAGCATGGAATATTATCAAGTCGATGAATTTTTAATTTTTTGTTTTTGCATCCACAACAATGAAATAAAGAAAAAAAGTATTTAAACTGACGCGAATTTTTTAACTTATTTATTTGGCAACAACATTAAAATTTAAAGAAACTAAACGTACACACATATCTCTGAAGTAAAAAATAATTAATTGCTATCTGTTATAAAACTTTTTTTGATATGTAAACCCTTAAAAGCGCGTAATTATTTATTTTTTAATTAAATGAGATTGAGTTATAACGTATTATTGATAATTATTTAATTATAATTTAACTTTGCTATTTTAGCGTTATATAACATAATAAAACTGAAATAATTTGCACACGAAATTGTTGTTTAATAATAGCTTGACTGTTCGCGGAAACTTTCTTTTTCGTCAAATAGCCGGAAATGCAGTATGAGAAACGATAGCCGGAAAATGTTTCCGGTACTTACCGCAATTGCCAGACCGCACAAAAATAATACACGACGTACGATAATATCTGTGAATGTCGTTAATCAGTCGGGAGTAATTGTTGATGCCTATTCCCTCCGACAGCGGCTTGGTGTCCAACACGAGGAAAAGCATCGCGATCGATCGCGCTATCGTATACTTCATTCCGCAAAGCGCAGGTTTGAAAACGATTACTCGAATAAAATTGATTAAAAAGATAAAAATCGTCCAATTAGGCACTTGTAACAAAATAATTAATGATTAATTCGTAGCGAGAAATTATGAAGAGCACGACGAAATTAGTATCCTAATTCCGAAGTCCTACTAAAGGCAGCAATGCTTCGCGGAATCCTTCGAATCCGTCGAAAGCATGACTGTTGTTGAGCCGAGAATTAAGGAGAGAAATGACGGTACCCGCGATTCAAGGATGCGACCGCGTGACTGAAGGGCGATCATCGCAAACGGGGATTTATCGGATCCGAGAATCTATGGGGGGTGGGAGCGAAAGAATGTCACCGGGTGATGTGGATGTACGGCATTATTACAAATTACACGGAGATACGCGACGATTTTTATCAACGAATCATCAGCAAAATCGATAAATTATTCACCACCGTTAAGCCGCCTGTGCAATCAGCATTAGTTTATATCCGTCAATCACCCACGATGCAATTTCAGGTATATGTCATTCAGGTGTCTTAGCTTTCACAGCTTGATACACAAAAATCGGTGCAAATTTAAGTATGCATGTTTCGCAAAAGGGATGTTAGGAGGAAAAGAATTCATCGTGATATCGACAATTTGATTATTTAATTCATTATAATGAATAATTTAAACGATTTTCAATAAAAATTGAACAAATATTAACAAGAATACTAATAGAGCAAGAAGCTTTAGGAAATTTTATTTTCTTCTCCCGCTAGAAAGATGTCGGTTAACTCTTATTTTATATTAGTGTTTTCACGTCGCAAACATATTTCGACATATACATAATAATATAAATAATTATCTACATTACAATTAATCATTAGACTTAAAATTATAAATTATTAATATTAAAATTTGAATATATTACAATAAATATACTATTTAAAAAAAACGTAGAGTAAAAACAAATTATATATAACAATTAAGTGTGGTAAATTTACAAGCGCACACATACATACACACACGAATTGAAAATTTCTACTAATAGAAGAAAAAAGTTTTCTGGATAAAAAATATTTGTTAATTAATAGTAAATTAAATTAAGTTTTATCTGAATTATAATGGTTCTTGATAAATAACATTTTAGCAGGATAAAAAGCTCTGGATTGGAATTTCCTTCTCTTCGACCGATAATGAATTTTTTCTATAATCAGTATCGCGATGCTTATAATAAAACCTCCACAGAGAATCGCCAAAATTGGGACGACGCTAACCATGCGGACCGGCTTGTAAACCTTGTTTTCGGTCAAATGCGACAAAAATCTCGTGTCCCTCAGACGCGTCAT